TTAGACATTTGTGCCATATGCGCTAATAGCTTGATTATTGGCATCTCAACTGTTATTTTCTGCGGTCCTATCAGCGGAGCTTACAAATGAGGTGAGAATGACGCACCAGTGCTGTCACTGAGAGCAGTGTTCACTCGCCCCCCACCTCCACGTGACCAATCATTTTGTCCAGTCAGTGGTCAAACACCGGACAATGACCTGTGCCAACCAGCGGGACAGCTATTCCTCTCTCAGCTTTTAACTCCATGAAGACGTTCTGTTCCTGTTTTTAATGCCAGAGTGGGACTGTATGATTTTAGTGTGGAAACGACTCCTTCTTGAAGGAGGCCTTTAACTCTTCAGGCTTCTGCATATGACACATTATAGCTTCCACGGCGACGCCATTGCTGATCTCCTTATTTCCGAACACATGTACTATCAAGGGAATGAGTTGGTAATTCTATGCCGCTGTAGAACTGGGAAGCGCGGCAAGATTTGTAACTCTCGGGTTTCATTATGCAAACTATGCGTGCTATACGCTATTTGCTGGCGGCGGAGGGTAAAATATCTGGTTTGAAATGCCTATTTCTCAATAGCCCCAGTCTACAGATTGCCCGTTTTTCTCCAAACCTTGTCAACCTTTCTTCACAGCCTCCAATTTCTTCTTCCTATTTATCCTGATCGTACGTGGTTTGTCGGTCTCATTCGAGACATATCCTTTAATTCACCATCCGACTTTTTGCAGCTCGTGTTTCCTACGTCAACATCGGCATCGTTCGTCTGATCCACGGTCGCCAATGCTTGGACGCGAGCACCTCGGCGTGTAGGGCTGGCATGCGACTTAAGCCCACTTGTAACGATGTCGGTCAGGGCTATTTCCGTCCGTAGGGATACAAAGCTTCTTGTCTGAAAGTACTAAAATGAGCGCATGAACTTTACACAACCTTGATTAACATGTCGAAGTGGTGTTGTCGTTAAGATAAAGATTCCCAATCAGAAGTCAGGGAAGACGGTTTGAGTTGGATAACCTTTACTGCCTGAGGAAGTGCGTACACAAGGGCTCTGTAGGCAGTCGCCGCGAGCGCGCTCCAAGCAAGCTGTTGTCTGTGGCCGCCTTCGAGGTGTTGTGAGCGCGTGTGTGCGCCCTTCGTTGTCTCCACGTCGCCAGCCAATCAAACACTTGTACTCACTCCTCCACCTCGTGGCTAATTTGTCCCTTCTCATTCCTCTGATGCCAATAGTCCATATGTAGTACTTTTGCTAATCCGCGGATAGGCCCGAGTATGTATTTCATTGGTGACCCCGACACACATACACAGCCGCAGGCGTACATTGGACGGGGAACCCGGACCCAGCTCTCTTAGACCTACAAATTAGCAGTTCACAACGGCCGTCTTAAAGACATGCTTGGCCACCCCTCACTACTGCTAGAGGCAGCAAATTGAAGTCGAGTACCGCCCACCTGCCGATGGTTTTTTATCTTTTATTCCCAACCGCAACCTGGCCGTAATGCGGTGCCTAAGCCGTGGGCTTCAACTTGGTCAACACAGCAGATAAACAGCACTTATTCTAGCAAAAGGCACGGGTTTCATTTCCCTTTTCCCTTTTTTTACGGCCGAACTACTGGCATTTGACATATGATGAGACTAGATGCTCGCCAGTTAAAGCTTCTGCCAGAACGATGTGGTCTAGAATTTACATTTAAAACAGTTAAATTATAATCAAAGCTCCGTTCTGTGATGTAGACATGAAGAAAACTCTAGCAGAGCAGCTCCCTGGAGTTTAATAGCTTGTCCAAAGGGGAAACACTTCATGCAGTACTGTCTTTTATAATGTAAATGAAATTACGCCGAGGTGGACATTGGAGTTGGTGTGGTATTTGGGCCACTAGTGCTGCTGCCATGCGTGGTCGAGGCTCCCGTGCCAGCGGTTGGCGTAGTGCTTCCAGTCGCCGGGGTTGTGGTCGAAGTGCCAGTGGGCGTCGTTGACTGATGGTTCAGCATAATGGTCTCGCACACAAAGTACATCTTATCATCACAGTCGTGAACACCCCACTTTCCACTGGCATAGTCCACTGACAGACACTTGACTTCGCCCTCCTCCAGGTCACGCAGCTCTTCATTCGGGAAGTGCAGGAAACGGAAATTGGTCGGCGTGCGGTCAGTCCAGAGGTGGATGATGTGCTCTGTGTGATGTTCGAACGGACGCACCACCTTCTTCACCATGCCACCAATCCAGAATTGTCGGCGTTCCACGTTGAGAACCCACTGCATTAGTTCGGCAACCATTCCCGGATCGTGCAGCGAGAGGAGATCGTTAAAGACGGTCTGGCCTGGTGCTCCCGAAACTGCCGGCGCCAGTGTCGTGGCCTCGGTTGAGAGGGGGGCAGAGGTGGCGGCAACAGATTTGATGATGGGTGTGGTCGAGGCCGGCGAGGCGGTCGCGTACTTTGCCTTCTGCTCTTCCAGTGCGCGACAGAAAGCTAGAGCATCCTTGTGAGACATCATGGCGTCTTCGCCACCATGTACGAGAGTCAGGGTGATGGCATCGTTAATCTTCTTCTCAGTGAGTTCCAAAGCAAAGCCGAGAAGAGCTAGACTGAGAATAAGAGTAACGCTTCGGAGCATTTTTTCGTCTGAGTCTTTGCGCCGAGTCGTAAAAAATGCGTGATTGCTGTGCAACTCCTCATCTCATTGACTGGTTTACGTCGCATCTCCTATCGATTTGCACCGAGCTGACTACAAGCATATGCCTCGAGTGAGCCCTTAAGCGGTCACAGATAGTACGCAGTTATCAGCGGATGTCGGTCACGCCAGTCCCTTGACCTGCTTAAGCCAAATCAATAAAAAAAATCGATGTTTCGAGCAGAGCAGTCATTTATGGTATGATTTGCGACCGTTTTCATGAACACGGCGGTCCTGCTCAGAACGTTGTATGAGAGTCAGTAGAAAACGTTCTGTTTTTCTGTTTCTGAGTCTCTAGACTTCGTTACTGCTTTACTTGGAAGGCATAATAACCAGATGCAATCGCACAATTCGGATGGGGATAGAAGGGCTCGGTACTACTGACTGGAATTGATATGGTGGGCCTGTTTACCCGTATGCACACTTTATCTTGCTACAATTTTCAAGGTAATAACATTCTGGCTTTTTCTAGATGTGTTTTCAAAAATACGACAAGGGAAACGGGAATATCTGCAAGGGATTATTTTGTTTCTACTCCTATTCACGTTAGCTTATGTTTTTCTCGCAGAAAATGACCCCAGAGTTCCTTTGCACAATCTTCATATGGCCTACGCTGTCTTTTTGACTGCTAGTACTTCGAAATAGTTCTACTTCTCTGTCTTGTGGTTAAGTAGTTTACAGTATATGTCCTGTCCCACGAAATGTTAACTGACATTCCGAAATGTTTTACAGTTGCGAAAATTCCCAAGGAGCAATTCAGAAGAGCATTTGGCAAGCATTCGCGTGCTTTCGATAATTTCTCATTAGCCCAGTACATTTATGTGGAAACGAGATACAAACTGAAACGTGTGAGAGATATGAGCAACCGGTTACGGTTCGTCTTTTCATACAAACAGAGTGTGTGAAAAGGCGGGTGGAGGAGGAGGAGGGGGAGGAGGAGGAGGAGGGGGAGGAGGAGGAGGAGGAGAGGAGGCAGTAAGTGACAATGACGTGAACTGTGTTTGCGATTAGAAAGGATTACTTGAGTAGTGCGGAAATACTGATTACCGTACGACGTATCCCCAATATAATTCAGTCACGGCAGAATGTCGTCTTTTGAGTTCACTACTATTCGGTCACCTGCAAAGACCGCTTTAGTGAAGTGTCTACTTGAGTAGTATCAATTTTCACCATTAGGTTTTGATATTCTTATAAACTGAAATCGGTAATTATGTGATTTTTAAGACCACTAGATATCCATTAATGCAGCTACGTATTTGTCGATCTATGAATACAGCTTATGAAACTTACAGCATGCTTCATATCTATTTCAAAATTGCATGCGCCCTATATGACGGCGTCTAAATAGTTAAGATAAAATATATGGTCATCCTTCATCGGGAAGCATACGTCTATATTCGAAACCGAAAACACAAGTCTGATCGCTTATTAGGATTAAAATGATTCGAGAATAAAAGAAGTTTTAGCGCCCAGAGATGCCCCTTCTCTAAGTACTATATTTAGAAAAGATGCAGTTTGCTACCAAATGAGTGAAAGAAGGAATATTTTGCGTGTGTTCGCCATAAAATATATTTGAATTTGTATGAGCATCGAGAATTTGTTGAAACTGCATGCTACTTACAAACACTTTGCTCTCTTATGAAATATGCGGTATGAGTGGACATTTCAGTCTTGAGAAATCTCGTAGGCAGAAACCTTTTTAAAACCAAAAGATATTCTTTCAAGTGAAAATTTTCAGACGCAATTTTCTACTAAATGGATAATAGAAAGAATATTACTGAGAACGCATTCTATGTAATATGATTGAATTTACAAAGGCATCTAAAATCCATTAGAAAAATTTGCACTATGTAAGTAGTTATTTTTGCAGATTCCTGTTCTCGCGGACGGCAGAAAGATGTACATTCAAAAGCCCGCACCCTAGTGTGACTGAAACATCTTCGGATTATGCTACATGATAATCAATTTAAGATCCTATCTAAGCAACCTTTTGAATAGAAAGCAGATTTCAGAGTTGTGGCTAACATTTTATGGGGTAGGCCTGGTATCCTAAATATTTTCAAGGAGGCACGCACATTTACACATTCCTTAGTTATTCTCACGACATTTTACGGAGAGACAATTTATCCTTTCTGAAATACTGCGATTATTTCAGAGAAATTGCACTCTTACAAAGCGGAAATGTAGTTTTTGTATAGTTCAACTGCCGCAATTTATAAACCTTCTTTATGATCGTTTCGGGGAATACGCCTGTTGGATTTATACAGACAAACGGAAACAGGTGAACCGGTTACTATGGTTTCCAGATGAAACAAACTATTGACGCTGTCAAAAAATCCGTGAAACCTCATTCCACCATCATATATACGCCCGTAGCTTTGATAGGATGTTTTTCGAGTGACAGAGGTGAGAGCCACGTGAGTACGACTGTCAACTGACCCAGAGGACTGAACCCTTTCAAAACAGAAGGCAGAGAACACTGTCGCGCACAAAAACTCCCAGTGCAAAACACACACGCACGGCTTCTCTTTCGGGGCATTAAGCTCCTTCATTCATAGTTGGCGACCGATCTCATGAAATGTTAGTCGGCATTAAATGCGTCCTCAAATATGAAGGGGTACTAAAGTTGAGTTGTATTATTGATTATCGTGCGGCATAATACTGCGATAATTCAGATATGCCAGAATGCCGGCTTTTGAATGCATTTCCGCTTGGCCGTCCTCAGTAAAAAAAATGACTGCGTAAGTGGTGTGCAGCTTTCTATTGATTTTCGATATTCTTGTAAATTCAAATAGATTTATATAAAATGAGCACAAAAGTATTCTTTCTTGTGCTTATTTGGTAGGAAATCAAGTCTGCTTTAGATTTTATGCATAAATAAAGGGCATTTTGACCTTATGATTTCTGTAATTCTCGAATAACTTTGAGCCCGATCTGCCACTGCATTTGTGTTTAGGGTTTTTAGTTTACATACTGTATACTTCCCGTGTGGGGAAAATAGACGTTTTCCTATGTTACAAAAATGACACCATATAGATCGCGTATATTTTTGCCACTAATCCGGACTATACAGTTTATCTCATGAAAAACATTGGCAAACGGATCGATATGGTGCTAATTGAATGGGCATTTGACGGTCTTAAAAAATCTCTTAATTATAAACTGTTTTAATACCTTGTCTTTGGGTGCGAAATTTGAAGAAGACTAGCTTTTTACCAAATGAGAATGAAAATATTTTCGTAGACGTTTTCTGTAAAATATATTTTAATTTGTAGGAGCATCGAAAATCAATGGGGAAGTCTTGTTAATTAAGTAGTCATTTTTTACCGAGTTCAGTAATCGCGGCCGGTCAAAAAGAGGTACATCCAAAGGCCAACAAGTTACTGTATCTAAAATGTTATGAGACCATGCCGCATGTTATTCACTTAAAACCTCACTTTGACGATCCTTTTTAATTGAAAATACATTTCAAAATTTCGACTAATATTTCACGTGGCGAGTCGCTGACTCATATCATATGATATACCTTCCTTCGTATATCAAGAAGAATTTCACAAGACGCCTAGGAACACTTTACCCACGGTTAAGTACGAAAGTCCCCCGTTTTTCATTTTATCTGGCCATTGTCAAAAGGGACTCTTCACTTCTCGACAGCCTTATTCCGCCAATTGCACTTCTTGGAAAAAAATCTAACTCCACGCAGAAGTTTGCGTACAGTCATCTCCTCCCCCTCCGTCCTTGAGAAGCGGCCCTCGTAGAACATGGAGACCAGACAGCGCATCCTGTCCGAATAGTAAGTTGTCGTCCAAATCAATGTACGTATTCCAACTGGCTTCCCCGCAGATCCACACACGACCAGTCTACAATAGACCGTGTGGGATTTGTCTATGGAGGTGCGCCAGCCGGAACGCGACTCCTTGGTCGGCAAAACAGTTGCAGCGAACACCCGTGAGTGATCGATGGCCAAATAGAAGATTGCGTTGGCCAGATACTCCACAAGGAGGCGAGAAGGCGGTTAGATGTTGCAGATAAGTAAACGAGAACTGTACTTGGTACGGCTGTGATCATGTCTGATCCAGCCACCTCGATGACGTCATGTATTCTACGTCTCCACGCGTGACGATCTACGGCAGCGGATCTGGACAGCTCGACCCATTCTCCTCGTCAGCGACGGAGACTGAGTACGGAGGATCCATAAACCAATTCCATGACATAACGAATTGTAGCAAGCCAGGTCTTGAGGTGGCACCCTCCTCGACTCCTCCAAGTAGCTAACGATAACGGATTGAGGTCAGCGATGCTGACCTCCTGCGGCGGAGGGTCATGAACGTCTTTTTGGATAGCCTTGGGATATCCTCGCAATTTTCTGACAGCGAGTGCAAACCCCCACATGTGAGACGAAGTCGGCACAATTCACTCAAAGAATGACCTTCAAGCAGCAGTGGACAAATACCTTCAGCTTCCGCTCATCCTGCACTCGCATAGTCTGACATCCACAACCTTAGAGGACTGACCAGACGGATGAATAGTACACACGTACCTTCGTGGAGCCCGATATGTCGCATGGTGTCAACAGACACCTTCTAAGACCTGGGAAAACCCGACTGGCAGCATTCATTGGGGAAACAATGTCATCCTTACTCTGTCCATTCGATGGCAGCCTCGTCCTGAGGTATTTTAAAGTATCTACTTCTTCCAGTCGGCATCAATTCGTATCGGGAGGCGCCATCTCCTAATCAGGGATGCAGACTGACAACATTTGGGTCTTGCCACCGGGAAGACGGGTTACCTGTTGGCTACCCGGCGAGTCCACGGGTGGCAAGTAAAGGGAAGGCCTTCAGCGAAAGTTAACGGCAAAATAAACAGACCCTCGGGTATGGTGAATAAGCAGTCGCGGACCTGCAGCAACAATACTACCGGGGCGCGGGGAGTTGGGAGCCAGC